AGACTGCCGAGGCGTCGAAAACAGATGTCCTCTCTGACGTACACGCAAACTCCAGCCCGGGGCACAAACGAGTGTTCTAATTTGTACCCCGGGTAGGAGAGATACGAAGTATCAGCCGGAGAGGACACCTGTGTCTCGGTTAGAAAGAGCAAGGCCGGCTTAGCTATCTCCAGATGGTAGTGGACGGCGTTAAGGTTTGAATGAAGTCCCCTGATATCCACGCCCAGGAGTGGAGTACTTTGGTCGTGGATGCTCAGCGAAGGATTCTCCAGGGGTGCCGGTACCCTCCTGGGACAGTCTTCTGTTCAATTCCCCTACCATGTTGATGGGGGGGGGGGGAATTGGGCCTCCGGCCACCTGCACTCACCAAACAGAACGCAGAGGTAAACCTCTACTTCACGCTGGTATTATAAAAAAATTAAAAATATAATAATAAAATTAATATAAATGTACTACGTAGTCTTTATGCTGTCTAATCTAATATTGTAGTAGAACGTTATATATATAGCTCTAGTAGGGCTAGAGCTAGCTGCAGCACGAATGGGTTGGCTTTACCGGGGAACACACTTGCACAGAATACTATCGTAAAATAATAATAATAATAATTTAGTAGACTCTCAGTTTGACAAATTACACTTATGTATTATATCTTTTTTTTATAACATAGGGCATAGGCATATAACGAGCACACAGTCCACCTGATGGTAAGTGGTTGCTGTGGCCCATCATCACATCTACATTTATTCTCGTTTGCGAATCAAAATGCAGATGCGTTGTCACCCGTGAGGACTAAGATGGAATATCTCTTTCCCAGTAAAAAGGGTCTCCGGTTCTCACCTACACTCACCATACGAAACACAGGAGTGTCAAGCTGCTATTTTACGCTGGTATTCTGTGAGAGCATAGTCCTTCCTCGGTCGAGCCGACCCATTCGTGCTACTAATATACTACTAATATAGCTGCAGCATGGCTCTACCACGTATAAAAGTATCAGTATCTATTTTAAAATACAAAATAACATTTCAAAGAAGTTAGCGTTGAAGGCCAAATAGCAACACTATGCTGCTAGGTTTCGTGTGGTTAGGTGACGAAAATCGGAGACCCTTTTTACTGGTCACTAGGTATCCAATGTTGGTCCTAATGGGTTATCACACATTGTTATTTTTATCCTTAATCGAGGAAACATTTACCGTCAGGTGAAGCTATACTGCATGCTTGCATATCACTTACTTTCCTCTAACAAAACCGTAGTAGCGCACATACTGCCACTACTACCACAGTAACGTCGCGACAGTATCTATTTACCATCTTAGGTAGCTCGTGGTTAAATGTCAAATAGAGTGGTGTTATAATTAGGTATGTCTTCTTGACTGATTTCAACAACGGATCAGTCGGGAAGTCGAACAGGAAAAATATTCGGTAATTTTTTTTTTAAAAAACGTTACTTACATCCACATATGGATTTTCTCCTGTATCTTTTTTTGTACAAATAATACTAGAGATTTAATGAAAATTTGAAATATATTATGTGAATAAAAGTGTATCAAACGCTTATGAAAATGCAGTCGTCACAGCGTAACATTATCATTTTAAAAATAGTTATTTCAGACGTCATTGTTCTCCACGTTTCGAAGTGTATTTTGAGATACCTGTTTAATTGGTTTTTTTTGTTCAGGTTATTATTGGGGTAACATTGATTGTTACTGGTGTAGAGGCGGCGTAAGAGAATCCATTACCTCTTATCATCCCGTGGGTTTTACAAAAATGGAAAATAACTCATTAAAACAATTTTCAATTCCCAGCCCGAAAGATAAAGAGCCAGTATTATAATAGGCTGCGAGGCGTCCTATGAGAGGTTACAACGCACCTGTAACTCTCTATGTTTTCAGTTGGTTGCAGGTTTTTTTTATAGGATAAGGGTGACAAACGAGCACACAGTTCACTTGATGGTAAGTGGTTGCTGCGGCCCATAGACATCTACATCTATCCTTTATTACAAATCAAAATGCAGATGCGTTGTCACCCGTGAGGACTAATATGGAATGCCTCATTTCCAGTAAAAAGGGTCTCCGGTTCTCTACACTCACTATACGAAACACAGCAGCGTTAAGCTGCTATTGTACGCTGGTATTCTGTGAGAGCGTGGTCCTTCCCCGGTCGAGCCGACCCATTCGTGCTACAACTATACTACTAATATAGCTGCAGTATGGCTCTATCACGTGCCCTACTATGTCCACTACTACAGGTGTTCACAGGCTGCAATAGCCACTTAATATCTGGGGGATTGTAAGTTCAATCCACCTGATAGTGTATAGTTAAGTAACAAAAAAATTTTAATTTTAGATTCTGAGGATAAGTAGCAAAAAAAAAACAATTTTTAAAAATCTGTCTGTATGTCTATCTGTCAACTGAAACTTCATGGGTTAAGCGTAATAAATTCCACGTGGACGAAGTCGCTTCTTGCCCGCGACTATTTTGTTATAAGTACCGTACATACTTTCAATTGCATTTAGTAAAAAGTTGTTATTTCGACATTACAAACAGACGTTTCAATTTTATTTATTTGCATAGATGAATAGTGAAAAACAACTCTACGAAAATATGAATTAATAATTTACTAAAAAAGTACATCCCGCGAATTAATGTTAGAGTAATCTATAACACTATTGTTACCCGACTGCCCAAGAAGGAGGGTAATGTTTTTCGAGAGTATGTTTATATGAATTCGTATGTCTATTTCATCGGATTTTAACATAATTATTATGAGGTGTCGTTTGAATCGTCTTTATTGTATGAGTGACATAGACTATGTAATGTTTATATATTGCATCTGAAAATACAACTAACCAAATAAGTGTGAGTCGGACTCACGCATGAAGGGCTCCGTACCATCATCAAACACGTTTCTAGTAGGGGAGCTCCCTTTAATTTTTATTTTTATTAATTGTTTTTATAGCGGCAACAGGAATACACATTCTGTGAAAAATTCAACTGTCTACCTATTACGGATTATGAGATACAGCCCGTTGATAGACGGAAGGACGGACGTACAGCGTAGGCTTAGTAATAGGGTCCCGTTGGTTACCCTTCGTATACTAAAAAGGAAGGGGAGGGTTTTTCCAGTCAATTTCATAACACGGTCTGGTTTTTTAAATTATTGTTTTAACCAACCATTAGGTTTGCTTTTGTGGATGTTTTACTAACCTACACACCAAAAGCTTATGGTTATATTGCGAAATTTTATCCATTGAGTGTTGTTCGTGTCACGTACAATGCTCAATAAAACAATAAACTGAAAGTGATAAATAATGTATTACTTCAGTTTGCCGGATCAAAATTTTGAAGACTGCCGTTCAGGGCCATACCAATTGCCCACTTCATATTTCAGTGGGCGATGATTTCTAAAGCGAGCTCATTGTTAATGTCCACACACATTACTTGGTTATTCATAATCACTATCATCATTGAAGCCCTTTACAAGTCCACTGTTGAACATGTACCTCCCCAAAGGGATGCCACAAAACACGGTCCTGAGCCACCTGTATCCATCGACTTCCTGCATACCCTACTAGGTCGTCACACCCTCCAATGGAGGCTGCTCGACGGTTTGCTTACCGGTGTTAGGTTGCCATTCTGGTTATTACGGATGATATATTATACTGGTTGAATTATTTTATAACATTGACTAGGTACGAGAAAATCGAAACTACATTAGATCTTCTCGTTTCCAACATTTTACATACCTACAATATAGAATGGCAAATCAGGTAACAGCCAAGCTGATATAATATAAGCTGATGATAAGTGATCATTGTTCTCCATGAAAAACTGCAACCAACTTTAAACAAAGCCCAATATGCATTGTCACCCCTCAGAACTAAGATGAATGCCCACCGGAACACAATGAAAATATATTTCTTTTACACTTATGCACCATTGTGCACTATGGTGCAAATGCTGTTAGATAGTGAAAATTAAGTATCAAGGTATCCCAAATCAATCGTACCTCTCGGCAAAATTCCTTTACCCTTACTTGTTTTTATAAAACTGAAATGACAAACCAACTTACAGTCTCAACTACAGCAACCCATTGACACTTGGAGCTAACTTCAAACAAAGAAGGCTACCGATGCGTTGTCACCTCTGTGAACTAATATGAAATGCTTCACAGGCTCTCTAAACCTTTCCGTCTGGGACACATCAGTGCCCGCCATCGATAAATATGTACTACGCACTAGATTTCGCATTCCGAACATTGACTATGTTCAATTGAACTGTACAGCAATCCGTACACTAACGTAAATATTGCGTAAATTGAAGATTTGTGAATTCTGTAAGATAATTATTATTACATTTTATTTAGAAATATTTTTGTTTAGATTAAAATAAGAGTATTTTATATTAAATTCTTATATTTATTTTGTATTAATATGTTCTTTTATATTAAATTAAAGTCTTCGCGCATACGCGGGAGATAGTAGAGTCGCGTATGCGCGAAGACATAGAGTAGCGCACAATTTTTGTTTGGAATAGCTTCTCTAGTACGTAGTACATATAACTCAATGATGCCAGCACTGATTTTTGGCCGCAGAAATGAGGCAGAAAAAGAAATCACACACACAACGTCCAAATTAGAACATTTCGATATATCTTTAACTCTTTTTCTCTCATTAAGTCTCGTGCTGTCTGTATCACTTTAGGTCGAAGTGACTGTGACTTGAAGACATCTTAAAATTGAGTAGTGTTTGACTATTTGGCCATTAACGTCATTAAGCTGTTACAAATAAACACAAATATCCTAACTAGTTCAATGACCATAAGCCAGGAAGAGGCTACAATAACTCCCAATCTATACAATTCGAACAGCATCGTTACGCAGCCATGCGTAAAATCGAGTGCTAGAAAGTGTTTAAAATTCGTTTCTTTCTAGTTTATAAGAGGGCGATTGACATCACGCCCGCCATTGCCATTGCTCTCTTAAAAGTCAACTGCTATCGAATATGGATCGCTACGCTTTGGTAAGTAATCATTTTTTGTAGCTACTGTAAACCACAATAAGTGAGAAAAGTTTCTAAGTCGAGTAAAAGTGATGATACTACATAGTCTGGCGCTAAAGCGCGCAAAATAAGTTAACTAATACCACAAAATAGATAATAGTACAAGCACTAATACTCTAGCTTGAAAACCATTATTTAATTACTAGCAGCAATCCGCTGCCGATCAATTTCCCGCCAAAACTCCCAATGTCAAGTTGTTTTTTTTCTTTGGTTATGGACTCTTACGATCTTGCTTGGAAATTTTAATTTATAATTATAAATTACTTATCAATATTCTTTCTAAATATTAATCCGACAGCTTAATTCAGAACAGACAGTTGATAAAGATAGTATTCCAAGGCACCAAAACGGACACAAAAACATATGGTTTATATGAACATATAACATGTTTTTACTTATTTGTACGTCTTCTTTACAATCATTTGAATCTCGATACTTGTGAAACCTACATATATGCTCCAAGGTATTTGAGAGTCAATGCATTGATTAATCTTGAAGCTGCTTTGACGAAAACCTTGCGGCTTTATGGCGAGATAATGCGGCGAATAGGTCGCGGGTTCTGGATTCGAGTTTTAGCTGTCTTAGCAATTTCAGATCTAATGGTACTTAAAAAAAAGTCCAGCAGATTGTAAGTGAATTCTGTGGCCCATAGAGGCCTACATTCTCACTTAAGAATTAAAATGAAGATTCGTGGATAGTTGTTGAATGAAGATTTTAATGCCGCGTTATCAGTAAAATGGGTCTCATTATTGTCACTCAGGGTACAAACCGTACGTGGTATCGTACGTGGTAGAGCCATGCTGCATGTAGTATAGTTGTAGTACGAATGGTCGGCTCGTCCGGGGAAGGACCACGCTCTTACAGAATACCAGCGTAAAATAGCAGCCTAACGCTGCTGTGTTACGTACGGTGAGTGTAGAGAACCGGAGAACCTTTTTACCGGAAATGAGACATTCCATGTTAGTCCTCACGGGTGACAACGCATGTGCATTTTGATTTGTAATAGAGGATAGATGTAGATGTCTATGGGCCACAGCAAACACCATCAGGTGGACTGTGTGCTCGTTTGTCACCCTTATCCTATAAAAAAACCCATAGTTTTTGCTGCTATTTGATTTTTGTATTTAGTCGACCTGACACACTCGTGCTAAAGCTCTACGCTCTACCATAATATTATTCTTACCTATACCGTTACAGCCTACTGGACTTTTGTCCACTGCTGAACATAGACCTCCCCATAGATTACTTCATAGATGGACATTTGCCATAACTGCAACGATTGGCAGGCGGGATTATAGCCACGTTTGAAAATTTCGTAGTTGTTATTAGAAAGGTCATCTCCTGGTAGGTTTCCCTTTGTGGCCACTTAACGACACCGATGGGACGATATAGGGTAGGGGATATTCTTACACCACCACTACATGTGCAGCCACATCAATGACAGACCTGCTTATTACAGACGTACATAATATTATATAAATATAAAGAAATTTTTAACGTTCCATCATCTATATATATACAAATAATTAAATTGAAGTGTCTGTTTTTAATGTCAAAATTACAGTTTTTTACTAAATGCATATGAAAGTAAATACGGTACTTATGACTAAAATACAATTTTTTTTTAATTTTTGTCTGTCTGTCTGTGTGTTTGTTCCAGCTAATCTCCGAATCGGCTGAACCGATTTTGACGGTACTTACACTGGCAGATACCTGATTTCATAAGGAGTAACTTAGGCTACTTTTATTTTAGAAAAAGAATTAGGGTTCCGCACAAAAACATTAAAACCCTGACCCGCAGGCGAAGTCGCGGGGAACAGCTAGTTTAAAAATAAAATCATTGTGACAGTAATAAAAATACTTTACGCAACGTTTTGCGAAAGATACTTAAACTTGTTTAAATTAATGATTGAATTAATTATCGTTATGTGATCATATTATTTCTCACGCTTCATAAACGCGGTAACTTAATAAGCTTTTCAATTTCTTCAATTAGACCAGTGTTACCAGTGTACACAGTTTTAAGCAAGAATTTGGTCTGAATCGTTACAAGAACATAATTTAAAATTAAAAATTTTGTACAGGCGACTTCAATATAAGTTATTAAGAATAACTCAAAAACTATTGGTATGACCTTGATCAAATTCATATGGAACTACACGAGTAGTACCAGCTTTCAAATAAAAAAAGAATCATCGCAATCGGTTCACCCAGTAAAAAGTTATGAGGTAACACACATAAAAAAATAACATACAGTCGAATTGAGTACCGTCTCCTTTTTGGAAGTCGGCAGAAATGTAAAAGAATTCCTTTGCTATGTGGTGGTGGCGTGAAACGGATCCATTAATGCGTCACGTCCCCACAAAATTGTGGAAAAATCCTTCGTTAGACAGTTGAATAAATATCTCGTGTACCCCATATCGTCCCATGGTTGTCGTAAGAGACGATAGAGGGAAACTCAAACAGGAGATAGACATCTTACAGCATCTTTCTGATACCAACTCATAATCATAAAATCTGCCGTTGCCAACCCACTTGTGGTACGGTGGAATCCTTTCTGTAAGGCAATGTATGGGAGAGTTCTATGTTTAGCTGTTAGGCTGTAATGGATGGATGGATGAGTGAGTCCTTGCCATTAGAATCATCAAATTCACATCGCGACATGATTGTCGTAAGATCCTTCGATAGATAGTATAAGAACTATTACGTATTTTTATAGGATAGGGTGACAAACGAGCACACAGTCCACCTGTTGGTAATGTAACGAACCCCATTCACGAAGACAGAGCTCAAAATAGTTAAGAACAATAAATTGTCCCTATTCCACTTGTATCAGGTTCACAACAGTCAATTCCTTATTAATTAATCACTTCCCGCTTGGAAAAGGCTCACAATATTTATATCAAATACCAGATACAAGGGCTTCGCTCTCCCACATTTAAAAAAAATGTGAAGGAGGCACACGACTCCACACATGCCGTGCGCGGTGAGCGCCAACCATTTTAATGCGCTCCCCCCGAAGGGAACGTTAAGTTGGAAACTGAACCGTAGTCCACAGCAAAACAACTGGCGAACCAGTAAAAGAGGGCTTGGCCCCTTGATAGTGCGTAAGCACAAACATCGACCGAAGTCACGCATGTCAATGCGTGTAAACGCCATACAGAATACGATCAAATCCAGCCAAAGTAAATGTACGTCACATGGGTTAGGCAACAATAGGCACACTGGCGTTAAAAGCCCTCCGTGAACGCCACCACCTGCCAGACCGCCGTTCCTGCAGACGTGATGTAAGTGTATGGCATCACCACGAATTGCATGGTCAGCACGGCCAATTGGCCGCAGAGCGTGTGATGAGTCTACTGCTCACCTCAAGGCAATGGGGTCCCACGTTGCGCGGCTTTTGGCCGCAGACTTGAGAGCCTCCTCAAATTCTCCCTCCAGCTACCACCCGCATGAGGTCGACACATATGCTCCACTAACCAATACAATGGCAGATATAGCCAATAGGCAGTTAGAAGATAATAGTAATAATTCGCCATCAGAAAGGGTTTGTGTCACTGACGTTGAGTATATTATGCATTTTTAGATCATGTTTGTCTCACCCACCAATAAGTTGCCTTCAATGTTTCAAAGGTGGGAAATTTATAGAGATATATTATTATGATGTTATATAAAAATTCATGGAGGTCAGAAGACAGTCTGCAGCCCCGCAATGAAGGGACCCGATTTGGGCAAAGCTACTTAGATTGTGAGTCAAACCAAGACGCTGGGAGCGCCATTGAGAATAGCGACCCGCCAAACAACCATCGCAGAGACGCAATGCTGCAAAACGCAACAAGCATCAATACGACTATCGTCGGGCTTACACCATCCCAAGGTCTCCCATACAGTACCAGCAGACATCACCACCCGCATACCTCCATCGATCAGAACCATAAGATGCGTCGAATCAGGTGCAGCACACCCGCAGATCCATCACAAGACGCAATACTGCAAGTAGCAGTAAGCATCAATGCAACTATCATACGGATGGCGCCCCCTCACAACACACCCATATGATCCCTATCGACTTTGGTAACAAAATTGATAATGTTGTTAACTAAAAATACTAGACTAGATTAAACTAAACTAACAAACAAGAAAGCTAAACATTGACCTACACTTTCTTTAAATGTAGTAACATTACCGCGATTTAACTAAGCTTTCTTTAGGCATTTAATACAGAATGCAAGTGAAAGCTAAATCAGAGGGCGTATAATTCCGGACGTATATATAATGCGGACGTTTTACTCAACCGTCCAATGACCCGAGCGAAGACCATCGAGCTGCACTGTCACATCACCTATATAAAGGATTCCCGTTTGCGTGATCTAGGGGCTGGACTACCTCTAGTCTTGGATTCGGATTTTAGACGGAGACATTGCCAATTCCCACTAGTTGAACCGATCAGTTCAATCGTTGAATTAATGCATTTTTAGGTTTCCGTACCTCAAAAGGAAAAAACGGAACCCTTATAGGATCACTTTGTTGTCCGTCTGTCCGTCTGTCAAGACCCTTTTTCTCAGGAACGCGTGGAGTTATCAAGCTGAAATTCATATTAAATACTCATGTCCTGTGTCACTGTCCCTTGGAGCTGTGAAAAAAAAATCAAACTTCTAAGCCAACGCAATCAAAAGATAAAGCCGTTTATGACGCAAATTTTCGACATTCGCAAGGGAATCAAAACCTAAAGGGTATTTCCCGTTAACTCAGAATCTTAAAATTTGGTACGAAGCAACGTATTATAACACAGATAAAGGAAAAATTGTGAAAAGCATAAATTTTTAGTTACATCATATTATAATAAAAATATATTTAATAATTTTAAACTTATATACCTACGGATTTGTTCGGAACCATCGGTGCGCGAGTCCGACTCGCACTTGGCCGGTTTTTTTCTAGTTTCAATTGAATTTCAATTCAGAGTTACACTACTGCAACATTGAATTAATAATAATTTAAAATCTAGGTTTATCTGGATTAACTTAGGATTATCCATGCTTTTTAAGTATGGATAATATCTTTTAATTTAATTAAGCGACTTTATGTTAAGTCTAAGTACTTAGTAAGTAATACAAAATAACTTCCAATAAAAGCTACCCTAGTAAATTTTATTTTATGATTTAATTATATCAAGTAGTTCAAGTTTAACTATTTTGTGCTAGTAGTTAAAATAAAAAATAAACTTATAATTTCCTCAAGATCTAATTTCGGTTATGGTGGTCTCAACAAAGACAAGCCATCGGCGCAGAATAGTATTACTGTACTACTGTACTCAAGTGTTTGTGCAAACACAGGTGCACTTTATATTCCCTCACTTCATAGTCCTATGGGATGGCAACCATGGTAATGAGTTATTTAGTTCCATTAAATAGCCTTTCTATTTCTTCTAGCATTTGATCGCTTGGTTCCGAATCGACCTTCGATACTCTTTCAGTTCGAGAAGTACTAAGTATACGAAATGCATAATCTATATCAATAATCAATGGTAATTAGTCTACTCTTGAACACACTTGAATTTGATGAAGAAAAAAATGAAAAAGAAAGGATTAAATTGGGCGGTCTTATAGCTAAATGCGATAACTTCCACACAACCTATATACCATTTTAATACCTTAATTTCAGCTCTGTCTAACTTGCACCGTGATTTGCGTATCAGCATGGTCCCGGCCTTTCTACCCAGTCCACAGAGTTAAGGCACCGGCGAGGGTGACACGGTTTGCCCCGCAACCTCACGCACCTCATCCACCTCGTCATAGAGCACCTCGTAAGCTTTTTAATGAATATTTATAAAAAAACTTTTAGGTACAGCTGTTTTGGGGTAGGAAATAACCGAGTAATGTCAATATAAGAATATTAACTACCCCATATTGTCCCGTGGGTGTTGTAAGAGGCAATAGAGGGAAATTGAAATAGGAAATGGGCAGCAGCATCTTTCTGATTACAACTCAAAATTATGAAAAACTGCGGTTACAAACCCGGCTGTCAAGCGTGACTTTTTTTTATAGGATTGGGTGACAAACGAGCACACAGTCCACCTGATGGTAAGTGGTTGCTGTGGCCCATAGACATCTACATCAATCCTCGTTTGCGAATCAAAATACAGATGCGTTGTCACCCGTGAGGACTAAGATAGAATGCCTTTTTTCCAGTAAAAAGGGTCTTCGGTTCTCTACACTCACCATACGAAACACATCAGTGTTAAGCTGCTATTTTACGCTGGTATTCTGTGAGAGCGTGGTCCTTCCCCGGTCGAGCCGACCCATTCGTGCTACAAATATACTACTAATATAGCTGCAGCTTGGCTCTACCACGTACTAAACTATGGTAATATCCCCCCTATGAGGAATAAAAGAGGCCTATGTTCAGGAGTAAACTTTTATAATCTGAAATGAATGGATGGGTGAATGGATAGTTGTATGGTGGAGACATATAAAAATCATTCAACGTCTGTATTCAAAAATAATTCATATCAAATAATAATAATAATAATTTTTATTCATTAATATTTTTTGTGATAAAGGACTTACCCCTCTATCCTTAGCCAACGAGCAATGGCAAGACCTGGCATTACAGAGCATTTCTGACCGGGAGACCGTATGGAAGGAAAAGGAGCTCCACGGGAGATTCTACAAGGCTCTACATGAGCTTTTCGTAGATACAGTTGCCTCCCTCCACTGGCTAGGTTTTGGTGACCTCTTCGGGGAAACCGAGGGTTTTGTCTGTGCAATACAGGATCAGGTTATTAAGACCAACAACTATCGGAGATACATCCTAAGAGATGGCACCGTCGACATTTGTCGAGCTTGTCGCCATCCCGGTGAATCACTTAGGCATGTCATCTCCGATTGTTCGGCGCTTTCTAACTCTGAGTACTTGCATAGGCACAACCTAGTAGCCAGGATTCTACACCAGGAGCTCGCTCTGAAATACGGTCTCGTGGATCGGAAACTGCCTTATTATAAGTACATGCCGGAAGCCGTGCTCGAAAATGACCGGGCCAGGCTCTACTTGGACCGGGCCATCATCACAGACAGGACCATTCTTGCGAATAAGCCTGATATTGTGCTGATGGACCGGGCACAGTCAAGGATATTTTTGGTCGACATTACCATTCCGTATGACGAGAACCTCGTGAAAGCTGAAACAGATAAGCGAACAAAATATCTGGACCTGGCTCAAGAGGTGACCGACATGTGGGGTGGACTGCCGGCCGAAATTATACCTGTAGTCGTTTCTGCGAACGGGTTAATCCCAGTCAGCCTCTCGGGTCATCTGAGGCGACTGGGACTCCGTGACGGACCGCTCCAAGCTTGAATGCAGAAGGCGGTGCTCCTCGATACCGCCCGCATCGTCCGCCAGTTTCTTTCCCTTTCCCCCTAACCCTCGGCCGTTTGGTCTCCCTTGCCGAGGGCTTCCATCTGGTTGGGTTTTTATTTATTTGTGTATTTTTTATGCATTTATTTTATTTTGTTGATATTTATGTATGTTTATCATTTTCATTTACAATTATATATTTATACAGCCCAACCAGATGAGTAAACTATATAGATGCCCAAAATAACAATAATTTATTTTCTCACCACAATACAGAATTATTGTAAAGAATATTATAGTATAGCCTCAATATTATACTGTGGGAGACTGGTGCCTAAGCTAGGCTTTACGCCTGTATTTCAGGACGAATTTAACTTACCAGAGCCACACTGCATTATGGCTGCAGCAAAAATGAATCGGCTCGACCGGGGTAGGGACCACGCTCTCACAGAATACTTGAAATAATAAAATAATGCTGTGTTTCGTATGGTGAGTGTAGAGAATCGGATATTTAAGTTTCCGGTGGTGACAATTTAATCTTAACACTTTCCCTGTCCCAAAATCATATATGAACATTTCGGTTGTTTAACTATTGTCTGTTTTGCGGACAGGGAAACTGTTTATCGAGGATAGATGTAGACGTCTATGAGCCGCAGCATCCACTTACTATCAGGTGGACTGTGCGCCCGCTTGTCACTCTTATTCTGTAAAAAATTAACTCTCTACTTTCAGCACCGATCCCCCAAGAGGAGCCCAAATGGCAAAGACCGAAGCGGGACCATTACGAAGACCGCGACCACGATTACGACCACCGCGGCACCAGCGGCGTTACGGGACCAGTTCATACGTTCGTAAAGACCGACAAGAACGCTAACTACAAGTGGGGGGTCCGCCACCACGTGGGAAACAAATACGCTTCGTAGGGTCGTTGTGGGATTTTAGCTATGTTATTTATTTAGTTCTGGTTCTAGATTTAATTGTTGTATTTCTGGTAGTTTAGTTTTAGTTGCATTGTGATATAAAAGTTTACAATAAAATATTTTTTAATGAAAGCTTTTACAAAAATTTTTTTTTTTACTTCGCAAATATCCTATTAATTATATTTTTTAATGGTTTGAACTTTTTAATATATAGGTATTAACTTGTTTACTTATATCTTTTAATAAAGAGTCATCCCGTCTCCAAAGTTAGTAAATATATTTAGCTTGTTTTTTCTTTAACTATAGATTATAATTTAACAGATGTTCCATGATAGTTGAGGTTGTTTTAAGTTTCCTAAGCAATTAAATTTTTTGTCATCTTTTTCATCAGCCCGTATCAGCCCACTGGTGGCCTGTCTATTGAAGGAAAGATTTGTTAATATTATTGCCACTTAGTATTCACACACAACTGGATTGACAATCCCTGTAATACAAGTCTCGCACCTTTGATACTACTTTCAGTCGTGTGGCCATAAGGTCTTTCTGGGATATCCATCCATAATTACCACATTCATGTGAAAAAGTTAAAAATAAAGAGTTGAAAAAAAAGGTTTACAGGCTATAACGTCCCCTTACGAGGCACAGACTACCGATCATTTTATAGATGGTTTTAGGGCAAGGAAATGTTTGTTGCCTAAACGCAAGACGTGGTAGAGCCTTGCTCGTGGTAGAGCCTTGCTTGTGGTAGAGCCTTGCTGCAGCTATATTAATAGTATAGTTGTGGCACGAATGGGTCGGCTCGACCGGGGAAGAATCACTTAATATTGCAATTAACAATTTCATTGCGGCCGGTGGGAATCGAACCCGAGTTTCTTGCAGACTGTACCGTGAAATTTACGACGAGCTCTTTTAGAGCTACTACGGCTAGACATCAATGTTGAAGTTTCTTTCCACATCTAATATATAGAAATTATTTTTTTTTTGTTCGTATTATAAGACGCTGCGCAAACGTGACACTTTTTGTTACCGACACGGCACACCATCACAGGAAACCCGAGTTGCTGTGTCCCGTAGCGGCAATCGGACACAGTCGCCGGTTGCTACTTCTGGACACTGCACTGGTAACAATTCGCTGCTTGTTTTCCGTCAGTTTCACCTTGGATGTCGAGGGACATTACCTTTGCTTGTTATGTTGATTACACGTTGACGTAGACGTCGACGCCGTCAATATTTACAGGCTAATCAACCACGTCAATGTCGGCGCCGTACAATTGTAAGGAAATTTACTTTGTGTTGCTTGTGTCTTCAAGTGACTACTTTAAGTTTCCAGTTACCTACACCGAACACTGTTTAATTGGCGGTCGGTATGTGTCAACTGGAAGCAACTGGACACAAAAAGTGTCTGCGTCTGCGCAAGGAATGACTGATTTCGTTTTGATTACATGAAAATAAAATATTCATTGGTAGCTTCTATCCCATACAAGACACAAAAGTGTCTAGGTTTGCGCAGCGCCTTAAGTGCTGCCATACCGTTCATCAGATTACGCTAAAACTTTGTCAACTTATTGCTTCCACTTGTGTGAAGGTTATAGACATAATACAGTTAAATTGCAATAGCGGGCGCGCGTATCGTACCAACAAATTGATTCTTAATTAAACAATATAATATGTAACTCTTCCAAATTTAAAACGATATTTCCTCAATTATTTCTTCTGCAGCAACAACGCGCCGGGTAACCAGTTAGTAACATACCGAGTCAGGTTATAAGTATTGTCACACAGTAAAAACTTTTAGAAGCTGGCCACAAAAAAGTTTATTGAATTCGAATTTCGAATTGTTCATGAAAATAAAACTGTATACTTTTTAGAATTTTACTCAATTTTAAATATGGAGTGGACGCTTAAAGAAGACCGTGTTGCAGTTATTGCGTTGCATGGTTGCGGTTACGCACCAATTCAAATTTTTGACATACTGGAAAATTTGCATATAACCAAAAGATTCGTTTATCGAACCATCAAACGATACAATGAAGACTCTAGTGTAGATGACAGGTCAAGAAGTGGTCGCCCTCGGTCTGTTAGGACTCCAGCAGTGATAAAAGCTGTGAAGGCGCGAATTCAAAGAAATCCCAAACGTAAGCAGAAACTGTTGGCCCTTCAGATGGGGTTAATGAGAACCACGGTGAAAAGGATGTTAAATGAAGACTTAGGGCTTCGGGCATATCGAAGAGAAACAGGACATCGTTTGAATGCTCATCTAATAGACCTGAGACTGAAGAGATGCCGCGCTTTGTTGAAGCGGTACGCGGGAAAAAAATATCGGGAAATTTTTCGGATGAAAAATTTTTTGCCGTAGAAGAGAGCTACAACAAACAAAATGATAAGGTGTACGCAGACAGTAGTGAAGAAGCGAGCAACCGTATTCCGCGTGTCCAACGAGGTCATTTTCCATCCTCGCTCATGGTATGGTTGAAAGTTTCTTATTGGGGCTTAACAGAGGTACATTTTTGTGAGAAAGGTGTAAAAACGAATGCAGTTGTGTATCAAAATACAGTCCTGACGAACCTTGTGGAACCTGTTTCTCATACCATGTTCAATAACAGGCACTGGGTATTCCAACAAGATTCGGCGCCAGCTCGTAGAGCGAAGAGCATACAAGACTGGCTGGCGGCGCGTGAAATCGACTTCATCCGGCACGAAGACTGGCCCTCCTCCAGTCCAGATTTGAATCCGTTAGATTACAAGATATAGCAACACTTGGAGGAAAAGGCGTGCTCAAAGCCTCATCCCAATTTGGAGTCACTCAAGACATCCTTGAATAAGGCAGCCGCCAATATTGACATGGACCTCGATCGTGCTGCGATAGACGACTGGCCGCGCAGATTGAAGGCCTGTATTCAAAATCACGGAGCTCATTTTGAATAAACTTTAGTGTCATAAGAATCTATGTTTTGTTAAGTTCATTTTGTTATATAAATGGTTACATAGTGAATAAAGTTGTTTCAATTATTTTATATTAAACATGTGACAGAATTTATGACCTGACTAGGTATAAGAATAAAAATGAAAAAACATTATCGAAAGTCAAATAAACGTTAGATATACCTGAATTTCCTATTCTGAAAAACATGTTTTGTGTACTCGTAAGAAAGTTACGATTGAGTTTTGAACACCAGACACACGACTATCACTTCACCAATTTCATGTTATAAGTCATAAATATAACATGATATTAGTCAACATCATGGACGAAATTGAGACATTAAGTAATTTAAAAGTCACAGTGGATAAAACTTATTACATTTTTAGTAACATTAACGAACGAATGAGGTAATAATTTAAAAGATGTTAAAACTTTCTCTAAGTAACAGAGTTATATTTGAAATTAGAATTACACTTGGATAATTGATACGTAACGTGTATTGCATCATGCCGTCACAGTATTTAGCTACTGTAACGCGGATTTGTTTTCGAATCGAAGACGGAGTAAATATTTTCGCGAATACCGAAATCTCGTATTTGGTTTTCGAATCTGGAAGCCGTGAATTTCTCTGTCTGACAGACACTACATCCTGGAATACCTGCGATCATATGTAGTTATAAGACATTTTATTAGTCCTTAACTCGATAGTGGATACCATCATGAGCTAACGTTCGGTTTACCTAAGCTCTTAATAATAAAGAATAAGTGGATGCAATATATTATATAGTGTCCGACCGAAACAGGATTTTCAACCGAAACCGAAACCGAAAACGAATCTTAGGTCTGGGTGTCAGTTTCGGCCGAAACCAAAACCGTAACTTGTTTAAACATGTTATTTTTTTATTATATACTGAAATTTGGTATATTTTTATACATATAGATATAGGCAATGCATGTTAATGAAAAACAGTAATTGTAATAGTCATGTATATTTATTTATTTTAAAGTAAAAGTCAACAATTTAACTTTAAGAAATACTTTTTAGGTCAATTTTGTAAAAAAAATCAACACTTACACCCATAAAAAGTTACTCGCTAATTGAGAATATATTTTATTGTGTTCACAATATTGTTAATATTATTCAATGAGAGCATTAACTTAATATATTACACTCACACACACACAAAAAAACCCCAGAAAATATACAAAACCTGCTCAAAGTTCAAAAACTTTAATAAATTAAGTTTATATAAAAAGGGTTATTACAATATTAAGGAATTTATGGATGATAATAACCCCTAGGAATGAGGTGATCACTACCAAGCTGTACCTACCAAGCTTGTTTTGTGTTGTTAATTGTGTTACATACATGATTGTAAGTGGCATAGCTAGGAATGAGCGAAGTGGGCCCTCGCCCACGACCTCGCACTTAAAGGGGCCTCGCGAGGCCCCCTAAAATGCAATGCCCCCAGACTTTACCACAGATGACTAATTTAATTTGATCACTTTTACGCTCGAAAAAGAAAATCACAAATTTAAGTGTGTTTGTTTGGGGCCTAGCAAGAAGCCACTATTAAATGCGACTGCGAGGCCGTTGTAACTACCTAACACAGACCGCGATTGTTACATTAACGAGATACGTTACTTGTCAGGAATTAATAGATATAAGTAGGTACGAAGGTGGCATTGAAAGTTCTTAGAAAATCAAAAACTGAACAAATTAGCAAGTTATTAATTTTATTATATCTTTTCAAAATAGTGTACATTTACATCAATACATCGCTGCATCCGATGGAACCACTGAGAAAAGCACTTTGCCGACTGGTCTTAGGGGTCTCTTCAACGGCATTTTGAAATGCAACCACTGCTTCCTCGGCGTCCGTAAAACGTTTTCCTCGCAGTTTTTCTTTTATTTTCGGAAATAAATAAAAATCGCAAGGTTGCGAAGTAGTCGATTGTTTGCTTGGCGGTGTGCGATGAGACGTTGTTGTAGTGAAGGAGGATCCTACTGCGAGGTCGTTTCTTCCGAACTTTTTCCAAAAACAAATGGCAAACAATTGTTAATGTACCACTCTGCAGT